AAGCAAACGGACAAGAAAACCCAGTTCTGGCTGTCTCAATGGGAACATGAGTTCCTGTTCCTGGCATACTCTATTAGGTACTTATTCTACAAGGGGCACACAAAATGCAAGGAAGCTTCCAGGAGCTCTGCACCAAAGCAAGCATTCTTGGTGCTGGCAAAGTCTGGGGTGGTTATAAGGAGTGCTGAGTCTGGGAATCCATCTCCCAGAGGCCAGGCTTCTTGCTACAATTTCTGTCTCTATTGGGAGGTACATACCCAGCTCACTGGAAACAGTTGATCAACAGGAAGGAAGACCTGAGCTTCCTGGTAAAATACTTGCACAAGAGAATTCTAAAGCCAATCTGGCCCCAGGTCATGCTAAGATACTAGCAATATTTACCCTTCATGGAACGCTTACTCGGTGCCAGGCACTACGCTACGCCCTTTACAAACACTGAGTATTACACACACACACCTGATCATTAAATCTCCTTGTCCTGCTTTCTTTTCTTCTCAGCACTAACCCCTGTCTGATGATCTTATGTATTTTATTTTCTTATGTCTCCCCAACTAGAGTTCTTATGTCTCCCCAACTAGAATATAAGCTCAATGAGAACGGGTACCTTGTCTTTCTTATTCCTTGGTGTATCCACAGCTCCTAGAACATTAAGCAGTATGTGGCAAGACCCCAACTATGTGTGGATGAATAAATGATAAAACCTGACAACAATTCTATGTGAGGTATGATTGCTTCCATTTTCAAGATAAGGAAGCTGAGGCCCAGAGAGAAAACTGACTTGCTTAAGGCCATAAAATAACCACTGGCAGAGCTAGACTATAAATCTGGGTCTAACAATTTCCAAAGTTGGACCTCTTGGACTATATTTCTCTACACCACTTGACATTGGCAAGGCTGGAAGCTGGCATTTCCTGGAGTGCCAATCTTTCCAACTCCCAGCTCAGTGCCTTCATGTCAGTGGCCTCATGATTTGTTATGAAAATCAGCAAAGTGCTATCAGCCAGCCTTCCTCTTTTGGAGAGCTGGTCTACCAGCTCATCTCTGGCTATCTGATCCAAATGTGTTCTGCTAGTTTTGTTGATTGACTCTTACTAATCCTTAAATTCTCAGAGAACCCCTTCTTCCTCCTGGTCCTCTTTCCCTAAATCCACTCTTTTAATGCCCAGAAGAGGAGCAAGCAGTCCTCTAGGGTGGGAAGGAAAGCGGCAATTCTCCTGGTGGGCTCTTTTTTAGACTTAAGGCCCCAACATTGTCTGGGTCTTTCCACCTAATTGGTCCTTACTCCTCACAGACTGACACCCTGAGAGCCCAGGGCAATCTACCATCCATGAAAAGCTCTTCCCAGGGTGATTTGTGGAGATGTGAGTCCTCCCTTTCCTGCGTGCCTCCTCTTTCCCCATTAACCTTTCAGAACCATAATTATCAAGGAAACGGAGGGTGTCTGGTAAGTTTCCCTTCTCGTGCCTCTCTTCTAGCTTGGACTGCGGGTTTGTGTCCACCCAAGAGCTCCGAGAAATTCTTGGCCACAGTTCAAAGAGATGGCAGGTGGTGTTTGATCATGGGACCCCCACCCTATCACAGAACCCCCCCACCCTCCCAACCCCATGGGACGGCTAAGCTGCTTGTAACCCAGGGTGGCAACAAATCTTTCAAGAGGCTGTTTGAAAATGCTTTATGGCACGTAGGGTTATAAGGCTCTAGCTGAACAAATGGAAAAATTAGTCTACCTTAAAATATCCAAGGCAAGTAATTTCCTATCACCTTGTTTCTTAAATGTACTTAACATCTAGAATCTGGGCTTCCCAAAATTTGGATAAGGGTCATGAGTTAAAATGGCAACTTGGATATAAAAATCTCCTGCTTTAACAGTCGCTCATAAAATGATGCCATCGGCCCTTCTGTTTGGAATGGGGTGGGTTGGGCGGGGGTAGTCAGGAGTCCAACAACAGCAGTTACTAAGTGTTCTTGAATTTCACAGGCTTGAGGTAGCCTATGAGCAGGGCTTTTACCCTGAGTCCACCAAGGCTCAGCCTCAGACACTCTGCTCTCTCCACAAGGGCTTCCCAAGGTCTCATACTGGGGGTTTGCTTTGGTTTTGCTTTTTCTTACATGAAAGTTTGCTTTTCTAGCTCCTTTCTGCAAATTTCGAAACTACTTCTCGGCCTGTGAATGGAGTTACTGGTGACAACTACAGCTTCTTTTCTCAGTCTGCTTATTTTCTTGTATTCTTTGCCCCTTTTGTTCTCCTCTTCCTCTTTCTTGAATCTTTTTGCTCTTCTTTTCCTTCTCTTCATTCATTCAGTTTATTCATTCACTCATTCATTTACTCTATTCCATTCCTTCAATAAAGATTTATTAAGTAATGTTTATGTACCAGGAACTAAGAGTGCTAATTCCTAGCAATAAAGCAGTACACCAGTCAGGAATTTCGCCTGCAAAGAGCTTACTCTTTGGGGGCGAGGGTGCCATAAAGTGTAAGCAAAGGGGAAAGAGCAGAGCACTGTGGGCATGCACAGGACCTGCCCTAAGAGTTGAAGAAGGCTACATTTGACCTAAGACCAGATGAGCAGGAGTTGGAGAGAGAAGTAAACGGGAAGAGTATCCCAGACAAAGCCAACAGCAGGTGCAAAGGCCCTGAGGCACAAGGCAGTATAGCTCCGCGAAAGCGCTGAAATTAGTGCTGTGGGACTGAAGCATGAGGTGACTAGTGGCAAGAGACATGGCTAGAGAAATCAGTAAGGGGCCAGATACTGGAGGGCCTAGCCCACCATGGCAAGGAGGTTAGGATGGATTTGGAAGGTGACAGAAATGTTGGAGCAGCGAGTGACATAATGAATAAAAGAAAAAAAAATGAAGGGTTAAGCCATTCTTCACCACACATCAAGAAACAGTGGCCTCTGAGTTTCCCAAGATGCCTGGTGTCATTATCGAATGAGTAAGCTGGCCCTAATGTTGACGACCGGGGGTGGGGGTGGGGGGAGGGTGGCTATGACTCACAGGGATCTGAAAATAAATCAGCCCTATAACTATAGATGCAAATGAGAATAACCGGATTCTCTGGGGCTCACTGCAGTTGGTCTTTTTTGAGGAGGCAAGGCTGGATACTGAGATACGGGGTCTGCTGAACATTATAACATCTTCCCCGTACCTTTTGGCGGGCGAATTACTTCACAGACCATGAATATGAGTCACTAAATTCTAAACCTTGGGCAAGAAAACAAAGTTTGATAAATGTGTCCAGCTATTGGAATAAAGACCCAGAGCACAAACAAATCAAGAAGTTCAGACTGTGCCAACACACAAGGAGCCCCAGACCTGTGCTTAGTGTGGCACACGCATACACACACACACACACTCAGTCCTGCACACACTCACACATGCATACACACACACTCACATACACACACGCCCTCCCTTTCTCTCCTTGAAATATCCGTTGCAAACGATTCCTAATATACCCCATGTCCAAAAGGTGACAAAATTAAAAGTGACCAAAAGATGAGGTAGAGTACATTTTGAAAAGTTGGGGAGGGGGTAGCTCATTTAAGAGGGGAAAAAAAAAGAAATAAGAAAAAAAATCAGTCAATCAAGAACCATGAATCCAAAAATCACATCTTCTTCAAAATGTTCTAGTATTCTGTGGATTTATTATATCTCCAAAATTCCTGTAGTATTTTTTATGGGTTTAAAGGAAACTACTACACACATCTCATTTTATTCTCTAGAAAACCTTGAGGAAGTGATTAAGAAGGTCTGGCCTTTAATTATGGACCAAACACCTAGGATACAGAACTTAAAATCCTTGTAATGGTGCATAAAACCACACCAGAGGCCTGATTACCTTGTCCAGTGTTAATTAGAATCCTTCTTAGGCATTCTCTCCCACCGCCTACTTCATGACCTGAAATAGTCAAGCCTAATTTTTCAAATATATGTTAAATCCAAGAGGCTTAAAAAAATATATAAAGGCAGATTAAGTGGAGAAGAGGCTACGAGGGAAGATCTCGCAGTTGGTCCTCAGACTGAGCCTCTCAAACCAGCAGTAGCAGAAAATCCTCTCTGATCTTTTGTTATGGAAGACTTCTCTGGATAACCCAGACTCTTGTGTGCATTTTTTAAAGAGCCAGCATCTTTCAAAATGGCACCCTCCAATAACCAACAACTCCCAGAAACAGTGAACTTCACCATCATTTGTCAAGAAAATTTGGTAACATTTAAAAGACGTTTCCCAAGAAAGGACCTCCTCCCTGCCATGGAGTTTTCTTGAGTCAAACTCCAATGGCCATTTCTGTCAGGAAAGCTGCCTCTGGTGAGGAGTTGAAAATGAATCTATTGTGGCAAAACAGAAATTTTTTTGGTGGGGGCGGACAGAATTAAACTTTGATAGTTTTTCTTCCTTTTCTCAATTGTACTTTTGTTCATAGCTTCAGCTGGGAGACAGAGCACACATTTAGTTTAGAGTTTATGAGTTCATATTTTATAATTAACGTTGCCAACAGGGGAGTTTGATTAATACCACGCAGTGGATTTTGAGCAATGTTCCATACAAATTGCCAAATTTAGCAATAAAATAAATTGGTTATGTGAACATAATTAGTGGGATGACTACTTAAAATTCAAAACTGAATGTGAATAATTCCAAATCATCTGAGCCACAAATCCATTATTTGTAGAGAAGGGGGAAAGTATAGCATTTTGGGTTTTATTTTGCCCTCAACCTCAAAGTTATTCACCACCCAGCTGAACATAATGAAACTCCCGCAATGGGTTGTGGCAATATTTTAGAATGACCCAGAAGCACGCACATACGCGTGCGCGCACACACAAAGGGAATGTCATAAAGGTAAGAAATGCTAAACTGTGATTTTTCATTGCGAATGTAAAAATCTATAACAAATTTTTCAGCAAATGCGGCATTACATTTTTCTGATGTGCTATACCTAAACCTCTAAGCGCACAATTACACAGCAGAGCTTTTTCCCTTTAAATATTCACAGTACCTTATTGTCGCCCTGGACTTCTGCAAGCCTTTGCTGAAGTTCTTTAATTTCTTCTCCCAGATGTTTATTTCGGTCCTGAGAATCTCTCAGTAGTTGTGCAAGATTAGCCTGGAAATGTCAACATATTAGGGAATACAATCAGAAACACAGGAGCGGATAAATGTGGGGCTTTGTTAGGCTTTCCAAGGCTGGCGTCCAGGCCGAGTGGAGCCACGCAAAGCGCATTAGATCAATGCATATGTGAGTGCGGGCAAGTGTGCAAATCACACCATGACAACTGCATGGAGGGGAACAGTGCTGACTGTGAACCTCAGCACGGGGATGCTCTTTGTTTCCAGAAGGGCTCACAGACAAGTAACGGAGGCATCAGTTGTGTTCGACTTTTTAGAAAACTAATGTTAAGGGTTCCGCACTAAAAATCTTACAAGTGGATGTAGAGTTCAGTTCTAAAATTTGAGCCAAGAATACAGGAAAAAGCTTCATTTCCTCATTTAGACAGTTTTCTTCCCCTTCAAACGGAACTGGTTTAGTGAGCTTTGCTTTGCTACCTCAATGCCCAGAATTTCAATCACGAGATGAGGCAGCCAGAGAGGGGATGAGGAATGAGCCACCACTTCAGAAATCAGGGTCCAGAGGTAATCCAACAGTCTCCTAGGCTGGTTTTTTCACCTCCTTATTCCCTGCTCTGGTCCCCCGGTATCAGGACCATTCACCTGCCGGTCCTGGCTTCACGACATCATCGGGGGGTGCCTCCTGCTCGACCCAGGTCCCTCCGGCCCATGTGGACCCCTCTCCATGCACCAGCCTCCCCCTCTCAAGCCAACTGCACCTCCCGCCATCACTGCCCCCTTTCCCAGAGCATGTGAGCACCTCTTGCCACGCTCCCACCCCTTTCATGGGTGCCCTGAGCCTGGAAACGCGGTCACGTGGCTGCTTGTCATACAGCCCTGTTTGTATTTTGCTAGCTGCCACTTGCTCTGGGTCTCGCCTTGCTAGTTGCCTTCTACTCTAACCTTAGCGAGAAGACTGAAAGCTACAGAAAGGCAGAGATTCTTTTCTCTCCTTCCTCGGCATGTGTATCTGTTGCTCCAGGAAGGGCTCATGTTCCAGCAAATGTTTTAAAGACTCATGATGAATAAATGAATGAAGGAAGGAGGGAGAGAAGCAAGCAAGCCATGAGAATATGGCCTTTGGGGAACCATTCGGAAATAGTTGTACAGGGGATTTTTAAGATTATCTTGAAGATTCCTTTCACGTTATAGCTGAAGAAACCCAAGTCCAGAGGCATTAGGGGACTAGTCTAAGTGCAGTGGCCAAATCTCCAAAGACCTCAATGCTCATACTTTTGAGGGCACTCCTTGGCTGGCTCAGTCAGTACATTCAACTCTTGATCTCAGGGTCATGAATTCAAGCCACACATGGGGCGTGCAGCCTATTTATAAAAAAAATAAAGAATTTTTTTAATGCTAATACTTTTGGGAATACTCAATGATGTCAGGTACTAAAAAAGGAATGAAGGTGAAAGAATAAAAAATTTAAACCTTGGCTTGGCTCATCCCCGACTCTGCACTCTGTCTCATCTCCCACATCCCATCTGTTGGGGTATCAGGTTGTCTCTACCCTCAGGTTCTTCCCTACTCCAGTTTGGCTCCCCCCAAGTTTACTTCCTCGCTGTTCCCCAAGCATACCAAGCATCCTCCCATCCCGGTGCTGTTGTTCTATACTCTCTCATGGGAATGCTCTCCCTCCAGAATACCTCTTGGCTCCCTCTCCCTCTTACCTTCTTCAGGCCTTTGTGCAAAAGCCACAGTCTCAACAGGGCCCACCTGGACCACTCAAGCTAACACTACAACCTGCTCACCTCCACCCTGATCTTCCAAGCCCCTTCCCAATTTTTTTTCTTTTGTAGCCCATGCCACCTTTTAAGATACCATGTAATTTATTTCATGGTCTACTGCTTATTATTTATTTCCTGCCTCCCTCTCTCTACAAAAAAATAGAAGTTCCATGAAGGGCAAAGAACTTTGTTCTCTCTATGGATCTGCCCCAAGCACCTAGTAGATGCTCCATAAATATTTTCTAAATGAGAGACAATATGCTGAGTCTGGAGGTTATGGTCTCAGGCTAGGGAAGAATATGGAATATTAACAATATGTACCAACATTGAAGCCAGTGCTGGGCACAGAGTCTTGTGTGGAAACCTGACCCATCCCCACTGGCTGGATTTAACCAAGCCCTGTATTACTCAACAATGCAAGCTAATTTTCAACCTCATATGTGCAAGGTTCATATTTTAGAATAGTTGTATTCTGATTTTCCCAGATTTCTGTTCTTATCAGATAAAATTTGGTGAAGGATGCAGGAAATTAATTCCCATCTTACACTTAAAAAAGGAAATCAGATCAATTAAGCTGGATCCCAGTTCTGCCACTTACAGGGCTGGGTGACCATGGGTGAATTCCTCAACCTCCTGAGTGTTCCCATCCGTAAATGCGGCTAACCACATGTACCTCATGTGGTGATGTGATACCCAAACTGAATAATGAATGAACATAGGACACCGACCACAGTGCTTGGTATACAGTAGGTGCTGGTTTAAGGGTTGGTTAGCTCCTCTTGACTGTGTCCTTCCAGTGGCCCCAACTCAACCAAATGAGTGAACAGCTGGGTAGACATGGCCAAATGCCTCCTTGGACACAATTGGCTCTTTCGTGATCCTGCCCCTTCACTGTTCCTTACTCATCTGTTCGCTTATACAACGAATGTTTATTGAGCACCTACCATGTTCCAGGCACTGTTTTAGACTCTGGAGATACAGCAGTGAGCAATACAGACAAAATGCCTTGCCCTTGTAAACTCACATTTGAATAGATGATATTACATTAGTTACATTATGTTGCCATAAAATATAGAATGACCCAGTGGTTGGATGATGAGAAAAATGAAGTGGGCAAAGGGAACAGAGTGTGTCCGAGGAAAGGACCACATTTAAACCAAGATTTAAAAAAGCAGAGAGAGCCAGCATGAGCCTTGTGGATGGGAGGGGGGCAAGTTCCAGATAGGGGAAAAGGCACCCAGCTTCCCTCGCTCCCTCTCCCATCACATCACACGATTCCCGATTTCCATTCTGGAGAGCAGTTCAAGGACACAAGAGCAGGCCGACCCCAGGGACCGAAGTGCAGTGATAATTCAACTCTTGTCTTCGCTTTCCCAGTTCCTCCCCTCCATCTGCAGCTCTCCTTCCTTAGCACATGGTAGCCCAAGTGGGCTGCCTCTGCTTTCTCGCCACGGAACCCCAGAACATTTCCCAGACATTGGCTCAGCAAGCATAATCCCTCCTTCACAGACCAGAGGGACTGGCCCCACGGAGGGGCAGGGAAGCAGCAGTTCAGCACCCCTCTGCAGGAGACGCAGCCAAATTCTGCTTCACGGCACCTGCCTCTTCCTAACCAGTGGAAGGGGCGCTCAGGAACAAACGCTTGTTAAGAGTGACAGTGAAGGGGAGGGGATCAAAGAGCACGCTTGTCGTGACCAGTGCGGAGTACTGTATAGAGTTGTGGAATCATTACTATACACTGAAACTAATATAACACTGCATGTAAACTATACTGGAATTAAAATTAAAATTTTAAAAACAGTACCAGTGGAAACCTAATAGAAGACACCCCTCCCCGAAATACCTGCAATGTCCTTAGTCTTTCCTTTTTGTTTTTTGGGTGTTTTTAAGATTTTATTTATTTATTTGAGAGAGAGAGAGAGCACGAGCAGGGAGAGAGGGAGGGAGAAGCAGGCTCCCGGCTGAGCAGGGAGCCTGACGTGGGGCTCGATCCCAGGACCCCGGGATCATGATTTGAGCCGAAGGCAGACGCTTAACCGACTGAGCCACCCACGAGCCCCAATCTTTCCTCTTTGAATCAACCGTGGCTTGAGTCCCTCAGGTAGTGGGAAGACCTGATGTTCACTCACCAGCCTCAAGTAGTAGCTAAACAAGTACAACTGATCTGTCAGTGGGGAAGGGCTGGTTTTCTACATCCCACCCAGCAGAGTAGAACTTTCGTAAAATACAATAAAAATCAATTTCTAGAAAAATGAATTTGGGCGCCTGGGTGGCTCAGTCGGTTAAGCATCTGCCTTTGGCTCGGGTCATGATCCCAGGGTCCTGGCATCAAGTCCCATGTTGGGCTCCCTGCTCAGCGGGGAGTCTGCTTCTCATTCTCCCTCTCCTCTGCGTTCTCTCTCTCTCTCTCTCTCTCTCAGTAAATAAATACAATCTTTAAAAAAATGAATTTAAAGTGACATCAGGATAAAAACCCCAAGTGTTTGGTAGAGTCAACAGACATAAAATCATGCTGTCAAATTGCCACAGATGTTTCTGAACACTTCCTCAATTTCTGTGTTTATCGTGGACCAGAAGCCAGTAGCCTGCCCCCCAGCATGGTCCTTGGGCCTTGCCTTGAAAAGCACCAAGCTCAACGGGCTCCCAGGTACTTGGCTATTAGTGCAGGGCAGGTACCCGGTATACACATCAAAGGTTCCAGTGCTATGTCAAGCAGAGGACAGAGCTGCTCCAGGAAACAACGATTTCTGGAGCCAGTGATGTGACTGCCAACCATTATTTACTCGGCAGCTGGCCGAAAAGAATTCTACCAAAATAAAGCCAGGCATTTGTATACTAGCCGCAGAATGGTGGTCAATTAGGAACACAGAGCCTCCACGCTGGGCTCTAGGAAATCTACCCCGGCTTTGAAACTGACCCCCGCGGTAGGTCGGGTGGGAGAGGCACCCCGCTTCAAAGCCGGTGGCTGTAATTTCACATTTCCCAGGCTGGGTTACTTGTCAACACCCATTTCTTTTCTATTCAGTCTTTTCAGTCCTTCTGCCTCCTCACCTCCAAAACAATAACTTCAGGAACTGGAAAATGACTGCTCTGATAGGGCACCTAATTCCTTGACATATACCTTAAAGAGGGGGAAAAAAAAAAGAAAAGAAAGAAAAGTAGTCCATTTCGAAGCACTCAAAATAGAGGAGAAAAGTTCACACGATTCTTTTGACCAAAAATAACACCCATGACTCACACACGCTCACTCTAACAATCCATAAGCTAACGC